TCTTACAAATCATTATACCAGATGTCAAATTTGAAATAAGCATAAATATAATAAACAAAGTAATGCAAACAAAGTTTACATTTGTACTTTTTTGGCTAGTATACTGTGCAGTTATCCAACACATCTGATTTCATCAGAAATAGTGATTTCAGTTTTAATCTAAGTTCAACTGCATTTTAATTCTGTTGTCTTTGGCTTTGTCTATTTGTGGCTTTAGTACTCACTCAGCAACATTTCTCTCACTACTTTATTTAATTTGTCAACTTAAAGAAGTTAGATATCCAGGAGAAAATGGAATATTGTTTTCTCAGAAGAGGATATGGAAGGTTCAACGAGTTCGACAATTGCTTCGTGAATCTTCAAAGAACTTAAAGAGGTGAATATGATCTTTCCCTTCTCCTTTATTTCAATTGACTTGGCACTACATAAAGTAACTCAGATCCACTGAATTCTGAGGATTAATAATTTGTAATTGTTTGCACTAGCTGATCTAAAATCAGAACTTTTCTTTTGAAAATAAAAATCTTATTTTTCAGGGTTTAACATTTTTCTTGAACAGACTAATTAATTCTGCTCAATAAATACTCACCACCTCAGATTTTCACATGAACAGCAAGTAATGTGTGAAATTAAGTTGCTCTATTATTTTGTGGAGATACCTGTAACTGAAATTTGTTGAAAAATTAAATTTTAATCCCTTTAGTGAAAATTTGATTGTATTCTATGTAATATGATACACGTTCTAATGAAAGAGGGTAATCATGGATTACAAAACGTAATTACAAATCAAAATATTTAAAATTTTTAAAGAACATTTTTATGAGTGAATATTTTTATGATTCAAGCTGTTTTTGTTCAGTTTTTGAGCTGTTCAAGATTTATTGAGAAAAATATGCTTTTTTACATCATAATTCAATCAGCCCCTTAGTTTGAAAGGTACTTTATTTTGATTAAATCTTGAATTTGTCTCACAAACATAATAATTATAACTTTATAACATTCATAAAGTATGGTAAGGAAACAATGGGAAGGTAAATTATGTCAGTAATTGTCTTCATTTAAAACAGAAATTTCAGTTGTTCTATCACTAAATGTTTTTATTCTCACATTTGTATTACAAAGAATACAGGAGAAAAGTTCAGAGAAAAATGATTTAGGCGCATGCACCTAACACAAACTAGAATTCTCTATCACATACGACAATCAATGAGTATAACAAAGTTTGTTACAAATATCTAAATGATCATAATGGAACTGCCACCGCAGATATGCTATCTGATCATTTCTAACACATCAACAGATCTATCAGCAACAAAGACTTTAGAGTGGAAAAACATACATAGAAACAACAGCTGTACAATGTGTATATAAAAATATGGCCACATAAGCCACAATAAAATAGTGCATTTAAGTTTGGTCAGCACATTTACAAATCCGTATGTGGGCAACAACATTGCAGTATCTTCAACATTTCCTTTAGGAAAGTTAATGCAACGGTGCAATAGATGAAATCATTTATTTTGCATACATTCACACATATCTACCATCTCAGATGTTTTCACCACTTATCAACTGCAAATAATAAAATCTATATGTTCAAAACAAACTTCATATGTATTCAATTAGCTTCTGGGAATATTTTCTACATGTTAGACTCGTGCATCCAAGCTCATAAAAAACAAGACCACAAATAATTTGTTATCATAAATGAAATATCAATATTTAAGATTGCTTATGGAAATTATATCCACACCAAACTCAACTACAACAGGGCATATTGTCATAGCTATGCTTTGCATAAAGAAATTTAAAATTTCAAATAAAAAATAAAAATAACAATATCAATGTCCCATATTTAACCTTCTATGAAACTATTAATCCTGCAAATAACTTCCACAGAATATAAAAAACAATAACTGCTTAGAAAAGAAATATAATAAAGTACTCACTTGGAACATTCTACCAATAGCTGCAAATAAGTTCATATTTTCTTTCACACCAGTGGCAGATCTAGATACATTCCCTTTCTACCAAAATGTCCAGAAACACATCAGCAACCTCTTGTGACTTAATGTCTGTTATGACAACTAACCATCAAATGGAAATATAAATTAACATTTACTTTAAATCTCATAAATTCTCATAGACCCTTAAAAATCTAACGTATAAATATTATTCTTAGAATAAAAGATATTTCCTCTACAAGAGAGGGCATTTGCCTCAATTATTCCTGTCTGGATCTACCACTGGTTGAAACAAATGTCAATCATAAACGTACAACTGCCTTTAAATCACAAAGCGCATTTTCTCAATCTACATTCATCATTTCATAAACAATAAATAATCACATGTACATGACAGTCCCAACAAACAATTCCAGAGGTTCAACTCTTCAAGAGCAATATAAGTTCCAAAATGTTTGACAAATCAAAATGACAGATAAAATGGAAAGAAACAAATAAACATTTCCATCTGACAGTTGTGATAGATACTATTCATATTTGACTAGTAAAGTAACACAAAAACAGTGATAAAAATCTGCAATGGAAACTTGCAACTATCAAAATAAAGCCTTTAAAATTACACGACACTCACTGAAATGCAATAAAATGCTCAAATTTTAAAATTCTCCTTCACAGAAACAGAACTTTATAAGTTTATATTATGAGTATCTGATCACAAGTTCAGAGACAAACTGTACACCACCTCTTGCAAGTAATCTTACAGCCACATGATAAAAACAAATGAACATAAAATAAACTTTCAACATTTCTATTAAGGCAAAGTACCTCCCTTTTCTAGAGTTCCCTGTTTCATCACCATAAATTACTTTATGCCTCTACGTCATATTGGATTTCATCCTTTTGGTAGTTTAGGCGGTGCCTGGTTTTGTCAGATGACACAGGATGAACTGCATTCTCCAACACAATGGACATCTTCAAAGCAGAGACATTCCTAAAAGATTCACATTAACAAATAAAAATTGCACATTACTCATAAGAACAATAATCAGTTTGCCGTTCATGAGCATTTTTATGAGAGTTACAAGAATATTTACACGTTCCTTCAATTATACAAAAAAATAATTATAAATGTTCATATCAAGTTTAGTGTTCTATTCAGCGAGATGACAATGAATCATAAGCGAATTAGACCATAGAAAACCAAGTTTGTGATATTTCAATAAAGTCATACTTCTGATTTTTATGTACAGGCATTACTACTTATGATAGTTAATACTGAATTACCCATTTCTTGTAGTTTAGGGATTACCTTGCGGTAATAAATTCTGAACAATCAATATGCAATGATCAATAAATGTTAAATATCCACAATACTAGCTTAACTTACCATGTTTCATGCAGAGATCAGCACACAGATTTGTTTCCAATCCCAGTGAAGCCAGTCACAGGGAGAAGAATTTGAGGAAGGCGTGAGGCGGAATTGGAACATGTAAAGAATTTTTATCTACATTTTCAAGTTTCTCTTGAAATTCCGGATCTTGGTCTGCAATGCAAGGATGCCCAATAGATTTCCAAAAGAGGCAGCGGCAATTTCGACACAGCTGGATCATTTCTGCGTATTCTTCTCGAAGACCAAAAGATCTGTCAAGTAATATATCTATTAGTATTCAATATGTATTGAACAACAAAAACAAGGTTCTTCCAAAAATTAATTTTTTTTAAAATGTGTTTTATGGAAATGTAAAGATAAGTTTAAAATTTACAACCTTTTTTCTTGTTCAGCAAATATAAAAAAAATTAAAATATATACTCTATTAAAAAATAAAGAATTATTAAATTTAGCAGATAAACAAAAACATTTTTTAAAAACTGCTTCAGTGAATTCTGTACCCCAAGCATGTAAAAATAATTGCCATTTTAACAGATTTATTTTATTGCTTAATTTCAAATGTCAACTTTGAATTTTGAATTTTAAATAATATAAAAGTTAGTAAGTGAATATTTCTTAGACACAGATGGAAATATTAGAGCTCATGGCCACGTACTTCCTGAGTTTATGGTAAGCAGTCTGCCAGTCACGAGGACGGCCCTCCATTTGCTCCCTCTCCATTATGAAACTGATTTGCTGAGGAGAGAAATGGAACTGGCATAGTTCTCTCCAAATACGCTGCTCATCCACAAGGCGCTGCATCACACTATAGGCCTTCCCACTGTTCTCCAAGTCCTTGTGGTCAGCAAGACGTAGGAGGACTTCACGTACACATTCCTCTGGAAGGTTTTGTAGCTTTGGGAACACATCGTCACCAGGCTACAACACAGTAAGGAATGTGCAATTCTTGACCATACTAGTTGACTTTGTAATATGAAGTAAAATTTCTCAAAAATTACCCACAGATACAAAATAATATAAATAAAGGACCATTTTCTTCATTTAGTACCAAAATCAAAGAGTTTTCTTTCAATGACTTTAAATAGAAGCAAAATTTTACTTTAATACATCTATTAGAAATGTCTTTGCAATTATTAGAATAAGTAAAAAATAAATATATTTAAAAAATATAAAAAAAAAAAACAACATTAAAAAATAATGTTTATACAAAAAAGTTGAAAATATAATATTCACATTTCTTCAGTACTTCTTCATGACACTCACTAAATATTTAAATGAAAGAAATTAGTTTCTCTAAGATTCGATTTACAGCTCATTAATAATAATAATTACAATTTTATGTCTGAAAGATTTTCAAAATAAATGATTATTGTATTTCATTGATTAATCAATATTAGATAAATTTTAACAGAAATTATTATTTTATTAAACCAAGAAAAATATACTACCTCTCTAATCTGAATACGATTAGCAATGGACAGGATTCTGTTGATTGTGCGTAAATGTTTCTCCCAAAGAAGAGTACTACCTAAAGGTCTCCCCCAGCAAGCACAATTTATCATAGCTTGTAACTGATGCAATAACTTGTTTAACATGTGGATATTTTGCTGGCTTGCAGACACTGGAACATGAAAGTAAATTTTCTGATTCACAATGAAATTTTCTCTTCTTAAATGAACTCCCAAACTATCTTTTAGAGAAATAATCAACTATACCAGGGTTGTCCAACAGGCAGTCTGCGAGCTGCTCGCAAAAGTAAGTTTAATTTAGATTTAAGGATATTTTTGTAGTAAATTCAGAATTTCAAAATCACCCAATGTGTTTCTCTGCATTATGCATGTTACGGTCTGGTACGCACATGCTTCCATCCCCCACCCCTCCCCTGTTTCAGAGGAGCCAAGTAAAGTGCCAAGATCAAGGTTACGGGCAGTCAAGTGTGAATTGCCCAAGTAATGAAAATGTGGTTCACAACCATATTAACGGATTTAGTTGTGGCCCTTAAGACCTTGCAAGTTGGACACCACTGAACTATACTACAGAAATACAACAAATAATTTGATAAAAGTGTTTTATTTCTACCTTGATATGCAACTTCCTCCAACATGTTGAATAAAACTTTCTGTGCACAACCTGATAACATTGTCATTTTCTGAGAGATAAGAAGATCCAATAATTTGCAAATATAGTTGAATCTTCGAACATCATGCACAGCATTCCTGAAGTCCAATCTTTTAAAAGCGTCACTTAGCCCGTTGAAGCCTGCAATCTACAAATCAATTAATAATTATTTATCAGTTTTTAAAGCACAAAACTACCTATCTTGCTTTCGATTGACCTTCAGAATTAAATAAAATGATATTTAATCTTCCTTTCTTTAACACTTACCTCTCGGGTACATTTGATAGTGATGTGGCAATGTGGCTGAACTGTCCCATCTGGAAAAAGAAGATAAAATATGTATAATTTAAAGGGGATAATTATAATTTTAGAAGAATAGAAATTACAAACATAATTAGTTTCTCAGCTGATCATTAGATTATTACAGTACTCGCTTTTCAAATAGAATCATTGACAAATTCTTGAATCTCAAATAATTTCAATTTACTTTTCTGTCCCTTGAATTTTTTGTTACTACAGCTGTTATAAGCAACAAAGCATTGTAGTAGGATGTATCATACCCAAACTGGTTCTGGGCTGCAATGGGTTAACTAAAATTTCATGAAATCTGTCTCAGTAGAAATGAAAGGGATTGAGTCTATAAATTTCTGAAGAAGGTCCGTTCAAATAAAATAACTTTGACGACTAGCTATGCTAAATGATGTGATGGTGGAAATGCGAAATCTTCCCTACATTTTCCCAAAATATTTTTAACGAAATCCACATCACATTCCGTATACATGCACCAATTTAATATTATCAGCTTTTTCAAATATTATAAAAGAAGCACCTCCATGGTCCGTAAAATTTGTTTTCCGATTGTGACGTTCAAACTAGTAGGGCTTGATTAGCAGGCTCGGGAAATGGAGTGACATTACTGTAGATAGTGGTAGAGAAGTCGGGTGCTGTGTGGACGCAATTTTGTCAGAGACCAAGATAAGTCCTTTAATATCAGTGGGATATCAGCAAGTACAGAATCAGATAAATCAAAAATGGAAAAATAGTTAAATGTATTTATGTATGTCAAGTTGCCAAACGATTGCGACTTTCTTGAGGAAACCCACAGTAGGGCGAAACCTACTATGCAAAACGCCGGTTTTGTTGTTATTTGATAACTGCTATTTTCGTTATCCGTTGAAATTCTGTAATGTCCTGCCAGAAAGGAAGGGATTGTTAGTATTGAAACTTTTTAATGGATCTGCCACGTTATAGAAAATAAAACCTTAATTTCAGCAAACCCGTAAAACTTTGGAAAACATCACCTTAAAAATAATAAAATGTTTTTGACTTTTCGGATTAGCACTGAAGAGTTAATATAATGAACATGAATTAACGCATTTTTACGCATGAGGCAGTTACTTTCTAACGAAAGGATGTTTCCCGCAATTACTCTTCTGCAATTATTATTTTTTCAATTTTTTTTTATTTTACTCTTCTGCAATTTATATTTCTGCAATGTAGTTTTATAGCCAATTTTAAATATTTCGAGATACGAGGGGGGAATGACCAACGAATTTTCCCGCTTTCGGAATAATTATGTAATAATTTGGTAATAAGATTAAAATACTTTTTTTTTTAGTTTTTGTTTCCCAAGGCAGCGCGGGATACATTTCGACCTATGTCCTGTAGCCTTCTTCAGGGCTGAGGAGCCAAAATGCAGCACACTGGCTACGACACGATACCGATCACGCAGCCCAGAGAATAAGGAAAAGAATTAAGAATGATATTTATGTTTCTGTTACAGCCCAAAAAGTGATTGCATCAATGGAAGCTTTTAGTTCATAATTCTCCAGTTATACTGGTTTCTCTTTAAATTTACCACCGAATAAAACTATTATTGATTAAGGATAGCAGAGGTATCAAACAAAAGTCGTATATTAAAATATAAATTTTAATAAAAAGAAAACCGCCATACACGTGTTTCGGGTCTACTTCATCCCGTCTTCCGTGGCTCCAAGTAACACGGATTAAGTGGTCGTAGGTCTTGGAGTCACTGAAGATGGGATGAAGTAGTATCCAAACAGGCGCATCTCTGTATTTTTTCTAATTAAAATTTGTATTGTAATCTACTGCTTTGTGATTGATACCTCCGCAATCCTTAATTAATAATCATGGATTTCCACAATACCTCTTCTGCCACCACGGAATTTATTTAAAACGAACTAGATGACTGAAATAAGTTATGTCCGTTAGTTTATATTTTAATTATCATGCGGTACAACAGTATAACTAAGTTTCTTCATAGGACCATCGAGGTTTGGAGAGCACCGGCTCAGGGAGGAGGGCTGGCGGAGGAGTGCAAACTCCTTTACAGAGGACCCGAGAGGAGGGCCGGCTGCTGGATGGGAAGCGCGACCGTTGGAGCACTGGCCGGGCGCCAAGAGGCCCTTGCATACACCCTCCGCTTCGCCCAACGACGTGCTTTTGGGAATTTCGCTGGCTGTGTTTTAGAGAAAATATGGTTCGTTCACCGAGAGCTCGTTTAGCGAACGACCTTCAGGTCATTCTGAGCAGAGATGTTCACCAGTTGGAGTGTCGCAACAAAAAAGAACAAATAACTAAAAAGTTCGTTGGAAATCAGTAAAATCAAAATTTTAAATCAAACTTTTTAACAGATCAGCAAATACGTAAAAATTTCGCAAGAGACTCGATTGAAGGGCATGGAGCAGTAACAATATATGCCACATCCGACACAGGAAAACTCTCATTACACTTAAAGTTTTAATATCCCAATGTTGATCGATATGAACAAGACAGAGTAACAAAATATACTATTTTACCAAAATCGAGATATTGGCATTTAAGAACACCTGGAGACATTCTGTGACTGGCATGATCTTATCTTGTTACTACCCTATAACCTTCAAATATTGCAGTGTTAATTATATACCACAATTCGTCATTTTATATTTTGCGACGGAATCTGTCCTCCAGGGAAGGGCGGAGAGCGTGTTGCGTGACTGGCGCTAGCCCCACTTGTCGCTCGCGCGGAGCGTCCCGCCCGATTGACATTCGCAATGATAATAGCGTCGGCCCGCCTCGAACCCGTTACCCCAGGCCGCGCCGCGCGAGGTCGCCACCGCGGCCCCGCTTTCACTCGCGCTCGTGCTACAGCGCTCGCCTCCGGATCGCGCTGGCTGGCTCCGGCCGCGCTCCAGCCTCGCCCACGCCGGGCACGACGCTGGCTCAGGCCCGGTTTACGGTTTTTCGTCGTTTTCCGTTGTGCAGAAATTGGAGGTCTATGCGCTACTGTTTCGATACCGAAACTGGATTAACGACGGAGCATTATACACGGTCATTTCGTTTCCAGCACGCAATCGCGATGAAAATATTTTCTCACGCCGCCGCAAAAACCGCTGACGATCAAACAGTTGAACATAGTATCTGCAGTAACAAATGAAGTTATGTCATGTTAGGACTGAGTAAGGAACGAGACATCAGAACACTATACATATTTTATTTCTCATTACATAATCACGTCACATTAAAATTCGACACATCCGAACGCTCTCTAAACTGCACAAAAGGAACTACACGCATAGCAAACCAGAGAAAGTTCCGAAAAGTGACACCAGAAGCGCGGTAGTCAAACTGGATGAAATCTGTACCGAAAACTCAAGCGTGCGTTTTTTTTTTTTCGTATAATTTACATCCATCATAATCCGTCACTTTTCTGCACTGACGATCCGTCACTTTTCTGCACTGATGATCGTGTAAAATATGCTGTAGACGGCGGTCATAGTGGAGCCAATTTTTGTCGAAATTTCGGTCGACGGGCAGAGAAGAGAAAACGAAACAGCTCTTCGCCCGACCGCGGATGGTTTCGAATGCTGTCGGATGAGGTCTTTCGGGTTAACTATTAACATTTCTGCTTACCTCCACATGATCGAACGAATCCGGTACGTCAGACGAAACGGTCGGCCGAAATTTCGGCGACAATTGGCTTCAATGACCACCGCCTTAACTGTCGAGCGTACACATCAGATAAATCTCATCGAACCCTTTTTCGACAATCGTTGAAATGAGCCAGAAATATTTTTTGTAAGTCCTTCAATTGCTGTTCATGTTGAAGGTGATAAAAACAATCCCGTTGAGATAACATTCCGTAATTCTGACGTTTAAATGAAGAGAGTGTGTACGAAGAAAGTAGCAAAGAATTCATTACGCTTATAAGTACATAATAAAAAAAGTTAAAATACATCGAAGGTCAATGTAAATCAGATAATAACCACTTAGAAAGCTGTTGAAACAACTGTGGAACTGGAGAACGAAGTAGGAGAAAGAAGGAAGTGAGCTGTCAAGGACGCGGTCGTTTGTTCTGCGCAACAGTGAATGAGACACTTGAAAGCGTTCGTCGAGCAGAATGGTACACAGAGGCCACGGCGACTGCTTTGGATTATGAAGAACTTCGAGATGAAACGGCATGTGACATCTGAAGTTGAGCTCCCAATGATAATGGAACATTCCATAACTGTACTTGAACTTCCCCAAAGTTCGATAATTGATACGACACCCGAGCGAAAGGCTCTGCTTACGACACTCCCTTCTCTTTCTCTGTGCCGTTACTTCCCTTTCATATTTTCGGACCAATTATCATTCATGATAAGGCTTTAGAAGTTAGTTATCCGTGCTCAAAAGGACTTCAAAACGTTGGAATTGGTGTGTGATCTTAAGATTTTGTCCGCGATTCAAAATAAATCAAAGAATTGTGCGCAGAAAACCATCTTCCTGATGCTCTTAGAAATTGTAGATTTTAGTGGGAATATAGGGGATGAACTAATAGAACAATAATCTCATTTCAGCTGCGCAGGACACATTCTCTGGAAATCATAAAAAGGGATGAATCAGGAAGAAAGAGCGATCTTTAAATCTTCAGTACAAAGAACCCTCGTACCGCTGTTCCAGAAAGCCAGTAGGAGGTGGAGATTGGGTGCGCAATGACCTACAGGTCATTGCTTTCACGGAAAGTAACAAAATAGAAAGATAAATATACATACTGCTCAAAACCGATGAGTATTTCTTTGTTTTACTCTCTTGTATTTCCTGGATTTCTTGAAATTTGTTATGTCTATTACTATTAAATTATTAATTAACAATATACAATTTGAACAATTATTAATTGATAACCAATATTAAATATTTTATTAAATTATTAAACAATATTAAGGATTATTAAATTATTAAATTATTAACAAATTATTAATATTATTAAATTATTAAAAAATTATAAATAAATATTATCGATCTCATCATCATTTTTTTTGTCGCGAATATGCCA